TCATCCATGTTCTCTCCTGATGTGTGCTAACATTCTCTGTGAGCGTTCACGTCAAAGCTTCATGACTGAGAATACATTTATGGGGGCTGACTTGAGTTTAAACACTTAATGTCATTTTCTCAAATGTCCAGAAATCCTAATTAGCAGTTGACCATCATAACTACATCTCACTTTATTAACAGAACTTGCAGGAACCATTATCGGTAGTCAAGTCACAGTCAATATGTAGACTTGCTGCATCTCGAGAAGTTTCTTGTGCCTGATTCAAAATTGAAGTAAATAACTTAATGGCATGTTAAAAGGTTACATTTTAGATAATTTTTTTTTCTAGAAAATTACAACTTTTTGACTATAATATCTTGATGTCCACTGATTTGAGTTGGGAAACTTGCTAAGCATGGAATTAAAAAATAAGGTTACTGCCCTGGCCGGTTTGGCTGAGCGGTTAGAGTGTTGGCCCACAGACCAATGAGACTCGGGTTTGATTCTGGCCAACGGCACGTACTTTGCTTGAGGTTCGTCCCCTGGTCGGGGTTGTACGAGAGGCAACCGGTTGCTGTGTCTCTCTCATCAATGTTTCTCTCTCTCTCTCTCTCTCCCCCCTCTATCCCTCCCTCCTACTCTGTCTAAAGATAAATAGAAAGATATCCTTGGGTGAGTGTAAAATATAATAATAATAAAGTTACATTTTTACTTCAAGGATTCCAAGTTTCTGACTGAAATCTCAAGAACATTTCTCTTAGCTCTGTCTTTAAGCAAGGCTGTTTTGCTAACATTTGTTCTCTCTTTTTTTTCCTGACCTTTTACATCAATGTCAACATACTCTATCCATCATTTCACCCCTTCTGGTCTTAGGGTATAAATCAAGTTCTGCAAAATTATTTAATAAAGAAATTTAATTGCCCTGGAGGAAGAAGGAACATTTCTCTCTTGAAAGCCAAAGGAAAATGATGGTGCTTAACCTCCTACAGAATATTTTTTAAATATATACACTTAAAGTTAATTCATCTGGACTTTTATTTCCTTCAAAATTTACTGACTGAAATATAAAAAAATATATATAGGTGGATTCAAAACAAATGAAATGCTGTAATCAGATGTGGTTTGAGCTTTGGCATTTTACATTTGTATCTTTTGGAAGGATTTCTATAGGACTCTCTGGTATTTTGGTATGAACTCAAGAGATATTATGGTTCATATGTTCATCCATAATCACCTAAAAGAAAGCCAAGTATTATCTCAAAATCAAGCTAAGCTGGATTTTCTTACCAAACCTATTTATGTGTGGACACGGAAAGCTCAAATAGGCCACCCAAGTTAAGATTCAAGTTCCAACATTAGGATGAGAACATCCTTAATCTTTTTTTTTTTAAATGTGAATTTGCTTCTATAGGCTTACAATGTTAGTCTCTTGTTATAGCTTCAGTCAAGTGCATATCGTCTGCCTTGAAAACAGAACCAGTAATGTCACCTTTTATGACAAAGGCAGCATAATATCTATATATTGTGTATTTTCATCACATGCAGGGACTGTTTTATGCCTAATTGGGCACTTTTAGTGTTTGCATGTTTCCATTTTTTAAAAATTAAGTAGAAATGTATGGGTGAAAATAGAAAGAGATGAATTCACATAAAGAGCTGGTCTTTGTAAATCTTTGTATGTGCTCAGTAGAAATGAGGTCACCTGGCTTGTTTCCTAGTTCTGACATCACATCTGTGTGACTTTGGATAAGTCATTTTCCTCCCTAAGCCAGTATTTCCTCATAGCCATAATGAGTTAGTAATTTTACCACTTTCAGGAGTATGAGAAGAAAATAGGAGGTGTGTGGATATAAGAAAGGGCATGATAAAATGGATGTACGTGAAAGTACACACTGCATTAGACCTTCAGCCAGAGAATTCAGCCTAAAAATTTAAAATGAGAGAAACGAGAGGTGCTGGAAGGCACACCTGAACGGATGTCAGGTCATCATAGAGCCAGTTATTTTGGGTCAAGAAAGAAAAAGCAGGGAACCTGTCACAGAGCCCCACAAAAGACATTGCATTTCACGTGAATGGTGGTTCCTGGGGCTGTGGAATGCTCACAGTGGTTTCCTGTGGGCGATGCCATCTGTGTACTCAATAAAGGGTTATTGTTGTGGTCGCTGGGAGGGGGGCCATTGGCAGAGACATGCAAATAGCAGCTCTAAAAGCTTCGGCTAGTGAGAGAAATAGTAGATCAAGCAATTTGAAAAAGTATTGTGGCACTTTTGGATTTCTTTGGGTACAGAAACTGATTGAGATTTGTAGAAATTCTCTAGACACTAATTCTATCTCTGTGTTTTCTTGTACCTAAAATTTTTTGACTATCAAACCTACCCTAATCAAGACCTGCTTCTTCCCAACCACATACCCTGAGTGGATGCTTGAGGCAAAGAGGGAAATTAAAAAGTGAGCTTACTAAACGTAGGTTCAGCCCTGGCCAGTTTGGCTCAGCGGTTGGAGCGTCGGCCTGCAGACTAGAGAGTCCTGGGTTCGGTTCCTGCTAGGGGCATGTACCAAAAAAGTTAGAAAAAAAAATAAATAAATAAATAAGAGGCAAATAATAATAATAATAATAATAATAATAATAACCAAAATGTAGGTTCACTGAAACATTAAAGGTTTGAAAATTCATTTCAAGTTCTATCTATTAAACCAGAACCATTTACACCATCATGCTTATACCTTGTCTGAAGTATTTTTCTCCACAACTCACTCAAAACAATTGTGCTGGTCCAGTAAATGATCCTATTTTATGAGTATTTGCTAAGAAATCTTTCCAGCAACTACTTGTACTATTTTGTCAAAGACGAACAACAGTTAGGTGGCAGTCGAGACAGTGGCGGCAGGATGAGCCGTTAATTCAGCCCCTTCGTATAAATGAATATGATTATTTTGTGTGAAAAACAAGAAGAAGAGAGAAGTATAAAATGTCCTATTCCACAGTAGACCCAGACACATGGAAGTAGGGCACAGACTGACATCCCTCAGAAGAGGGGATGGGGGGTGGGGGGTGGGAAGAGATAAACCACAGAACTTATATGCATGTATGCATGACCAATGGACATGGACAACTAAGCCGGGGACAGGGTGGAGGGGGGGTGGGGTGGGGGGTGCCAATGGGGTAAAAAGGTAAAATATCTGTAACAAAAAAATAAAAAAATAAAAAAAATTCATAAAAAAAAAAAAAAGGTCCTATTCCAATATTTGGAATCAGGTTAAAATTTGAGCCCTTACTTGTCCTGGGATGGCATAAATGTGTCTCAGAACATAGTCTGAGATACAAATGACCTGGACAGAAGGAAACCAGTTGCCTATGTTGTCTGGCCTGGGAGTAAACAATGATATATTTTGATAAGCCCTCAAAAATACTATCACCCTGGCCCAGTAGCTCAGTCGGTTAGAGCATCATTCTGCCACTCCAAGTTTGCAGGTTCAATCCCCAGTTCAAGCACATACAAGAATCAACCAATAAATGTGTAAATAAGTGGAACAACAAATATGTTTCTCTCTGTGTCTCTTCCTTCCCCTCTCTAAAATCAATTAAAAAAAATACTATCAGTGGCAAACTCTTTGAGAACAAATGAATTCTATGGATTTTCAAAATGTCATTTTAAATTTATAATAGATAACGAACCATACAGGGTTTCTCTAGAGCAGCGTGGCTAATTAACCTCATGTTTAAAGACAGCAGAAACTCTCTCCCACAGAAGGCCTACACGACACACCTAAAAATAATAATAATGCATAAATACATGCTTCAGAAAAACACCAAAAGGACGCATAGTTGGAGGCTACCCAGCCAGGAGAGCAGTTCGGGGTCGTGGTTTGCCTTTGAGCCCACGGCTCCGTGCTGGGGTAGGAGGCAGAGGGCTGCAGTCACCCTCACCCTCCTTCCGTCAGTGAGCTAATTAAATTGGAGAAACAGCCATCTCAGGTGCACCCAAACATGACATTCCGGATGTGCCTGTACGGACGTTAAAAAATACGTCAACCTGTTTTATGGTGCCATAATTCTAAAACCCTTGCATATTTTATAGTTTAACCTCTTTTTGTTAGGTAAAATAATCTAGTACTTCTCAACCAGAGGTGATTTTTACCATCCCTCCCATACCCTCCCCCCCCCCCCCCGCAAGGGACATTTGACAACATCTGGAGACATTTATTTTTGATTGTCACTATTGGGGGCAGAGGGACAACTGACCTCTAGTGCGTAGATGACAGGGATGCTGGGAAACGGTTCAGCACACAGAAGGGTCTCCACAACCAAGAATCTTTCAGCCCAAAATGTCACCAACGCCAAGGTGAAGTCTCTTGGTCTGAGACTATTCTCCAATGGAAATGACTATGGTATGAGAGAGAGATACTTACCTTCTCAAGATGAGGGATTCAAAAGAATGTGAAACAAAATCATGCTGAGGCATGTCACAAAGATGCTCGAGTGAACATCTGCCTTCCAGTAGTGGTGTGGCATTTCACAGATAGAAAAGGATGGTCACTTGTCTCTCTGAGAAGAAAATATGTCGTTAGGAGACAACAACTTGATTGTTCTAAAGGTCAGGAAGACCTTGGGTCATCTCTTTGAAAACAAAACAAATATATGCTTTGTCATAACCAGTGTAGTTAGTGGATTCATAAATGTACCAGAACAGTAAAAAATAATATCTTCCATCTATTATCTATTTCACATGTAAGAATTTTCTAAAAACAAAAGTATGAAGAGTTGGGTTTGCTTTCAGTTGGTAACCATGCCATTTTAGGACTTCTGCAACACTAAGATTCTTCTGCCGCAATCAAATGGCTTAATTTATCTTACTTTGTAAAATTTTGGTAAGAGTAGGTATTAAGCATTTTGCAATTGTTTGGGGAATTTTAAAGGTTATTAAGTTCTGAATAACAGTCTCTCATGTTTTCCCACCAAACTTTTCCCAGCAGTGAATATATCTGGATCTTATTCTGGTTTTTTATTCTTTTTTTAGCTTCCTGAAATGACTCATGTTCAAACACGGCGACCCTGGTTGATGTTTCTCCTGCAGAATTTTGGATTGACCCTAGGTTGGCTTTCTCTGTTACTCTTGGCTATATATGAACAAAATATTAAAATATAAGTTTAAGAGTCTCAAAATCCTTAAAAACTGAATTTATATGTTCTCATTTTTGTTTCTTTTGTTGTACTCTATAGTGACTTGTAAATTAAGTATTTTTACCTTAGGTCAAGTGTGTCTTTTACTTCATTAACTTCTTAATTTTATAATGCAATTTTGTGTTTGTAGTATATACATGTCAGGTTGTCCTTGATAAAAATTTTGTTTTTAGTCTCCAACACTGTGGTGGAAATCATACTTTTTTAGTTATTAGTAATTTGTAAATTAATTTTGATAAACTTTCAAAAATACAGTTTCCCGAATAAAGAATGTTTGTTTGTAATTTTTGAAGTGGACAGATGCCTGTTGGGATAAAATTTGCTGCAATTAACTTGATGTCAATAATATTTTTTTTCTGTGAGATTATAACCGCAAGCAAACTAAATTCTAAATAAACGTGATAACATTTAGTTTTAATGTGATGGTTTGTATTACCTTCTGTTACTGGATGTCAGATTCTGAATCAACTCTCACAAAACCAATCTGGTATCGGTCACCCGGAAGCATTTCCCACTGGCTCATAAATGCTCATAAATAAGCAGACTTGGGAAGCCCAAAGAATAATATGTCAGCATTCTTCTATATAATCACCAATGAAATCTCTTCTAGGCAAGGAGACCTGGAAACAACAGATAAAGTTCAAAATTTTTAAAAATAACCCAGCTCAAGTCAGGCGGTAGATTAATGCATCAGCTCACGTACATTTAACAGAGTGTTTAGGGGAATCATATTACTGACAAGTGAGATGTATTATGTATTCTTTCTGAGGAAACAGACTCCTAAACCTTATTTCACTAGGCTAGTTCATGAAATGTACAAGCAACATACCTAATAACCTAGCAAAATTATTAAAATAGAAAATCGCTTTGGCTTTAGTCATTTTCTTGGAAAATAGATATCTAATATATTTTTGATTTTTTTTCTTCTTCCTGTTCTATCTTGACAAGGAAAAAAGTTCATTTTACTGCCCAAATGACTCATGGCACTCAATCAAATTCATCTCCACCACCTCGTGCCCATCAGTGGACAAGAATCTTTGCCGTGTCCCACCCAGACAGTCTTCTTCAACCACCTTTATTGGATTTGGGTTTCTTCTTCAGTTGCTTGCAGAGCTTGATTTTAGAGGGCATCATGATAAGTGCATTAGCTCTCAGATGTTGGCACGCGTTAGGGTTAACCAGCAGATTTATTAGAATGCAGACTGGCCGAGTCCATCCTGAGGATGCTGATTCTTTGAGTCCTGGGGGAGGTGGCTGAGGCCTTTATTTGAACAACTTCCAGGTGATGCGAGTTCTGCTATGGCTGGTCGGGGCAGCCCTGAGCTCCACAGGTGTGGTAGAGGTCGGGTTCACCTGGCTTCGCCAAAAGAGCGTGTGTACAACTCTGTTGCCAAAGGGCTGTGTGATTTTGATGAAGTTGATGAACACGCTGCAAAGCTCCTGCTAGATGTGAGTTCGTAGTTTGCAAGCTCCTTGTCTGGGCCCCTCGCCCCTGAGTGCTGATCTGTCGCAGGAGCTACTGGCTAGGGAGTAGTACACAGATACTGGCCTCGAAAGGCCAGCAGGCCTGACACGGGCAGCTTTGTCCTCCTGTTGTTAGAGAAAACACTGTAGCCCAACAAAAACCCCTTTGTGCACTCGGCGCGGTGTGGAGGTCGCATAAAGTACCACCTGGCACCACGCGTGTTTGGGTTTCTATGAACAAGTTGTGATTTGAACATTAAGCCTTCATTTAAGCCCATTTAATTAGAAAAGTTCTCATGAGGACTTCGTTCCGAGTTCCAGTGTAGAGCTGTTTGGGGCTAGCTGAATTACAATCTGTCGGAGTGAGTTTCATTTGCCTCCTAGGGTGAGGCTGTGGGCGGGTTTCAGAGGGGCTTCCAGCAGCTGCTGGGGGAGGGATCTGGAGAGACAGTCTCAGTGAGTATTCTGCAAGCCAGTCACCAGTGTGCCCTGGTTGTAAGCAGAGACCTGGCCATCAGAGGTCATCTGCAGAGGTCACCCTAAAAATAGTGTGATATAGTGGCTCCCAAGGGCACCGTTCTCTGCTCCCCATTGCCCCCGTGCCCCCATGCTGCCTTAAACCCGGCTCTTTGCCAATCCACAGCAGGCGGATTAATTTGTGTATTCAGACCAGCAACCCACTAACCTGAGCTGGACCCCCAGACGCCAACAATTTTAGAATCGAGTGGTAAGAATAAAAACATTATGCTAACGATTTGCCTTCTAAATACGGACAGAGTCTAAATTTGGGGCAGGTGAACACCGTCATTCCGTTGAGTCGTCTAGATTGTGTTACTGAACTTTGGGGGAAATGGTGTTTTCCTTGAAACTGGATTTCTCAATACTAATAGAGTATTTCTGTCCATGAAGACTAAATTTAGGATTCCACTGTATTTCTACTGGGTGATTGATTTTTATTGAGTCACTGAACTAGAAATGGTCCTGGAGAAAAGTCAGAACAAATCATACAGAAATCGTATTTGAACGTGTGTCCCCCACCGACAGCCGCCTTTCGGGGGTAGAATTGCACCGTGTTGCTGGGGTGTGAGTGCAGGGCCTGGGAAGACAGTTCCTCGCTGTGCTGACCAGGACCCGAGTGTTATATAAATGTGCCTATAAGGTATGGCACCTACTGCTCCTCCACCACCCCGCCCAGACTTCGGAGGGGAGGGGAGCCTCCCTCTGTTAGACACACCTCTCTGCTTCCTGCACAACTTTCCTCTTCAAAGCTGGAGTGAAACGTTGGATCAGGAGGCCGCGGATCACTGGGGTAGTCTTGAGGCTCTTGGGAGATCATTAGCAATTCAGGCTCTAAACTGGAATGTTGGTTCACATCCCAGGGATGCCACCTTGTAACTTCTTTGAACAGTAACTTCTCATGTGCAACGAGGCTAAAAATAGAGCCTACTTCATAGGATTGTGGTGAGGTCAGTATGGGAAGAGAGCTCAGGAGGCACTCGGCACAGTGCCTGGAAAAACCTGGCGGCTCACGAAATATTAAGCCATCATCATCCTCAGTATTCCCGGCTCCCCTTTTTAAAATCCCAGTTTCCCAGTTTCCTTCTCAGGGCTGTACCTCAGGTCAAGGAACTGTCTTGGTGGAGAACAGAGGGCAAGCCTTTTTCTGTAACTGCAATCCTCTCTTGAAGCCGCCAAGCCAGCTCCCACCGGTCCTTCAAAGCTGTCCTTAAAGCTTTTTCACCTTGACTCACGCCCAGAGCCAGTGGGGTGCCTCTGGTTACCCACGCTGCCCCTCTCCTCCCGGGAAGGCTCCGCCCGGGCGTCTCAGTGCTTACCCTCGGTGGGTGTGAGCGCCTCTCTTGTTCTGTGTCTCTCATAATAAGCAAAGACCTATTACCTTCCACTCCTGTCACACTTCTGAGGATGTGGAGGTTGAATAATGGAAGCTGACGGAGAGGAACCTGTCTAAGGGCATGGTTCTTGTTACAACTTGATTTCAACTCGGAGCAAAAAAAGTAGTTCAGTGGATTGATTCCCCGTGTTGCCAGTGTGCCCAGTGAGGGAATGAAACCAGCTCTGAAAAGCATCCAGCCCCATCAGACTGAACAGGACGTGTGCCCGCTGGAGGCCTGGCCTGTTTAAACAGGCAGATGCCCTCCAGCTGGCGGCACACACAGCCTGCCCTGGACAGTCGGGACCCGAGGGCACCATGGAGACCAGTGTCCAGCTCCCCTGGGGCGGCACACGCCAGCACGAGCACCCTCCCCTCCGGTGTGGAGCGGTGGTCCTCACGTTGGCATGCTTTTACTTCCACAGGCACCTCTCAAAACCCAGGTGAAATGTGGAGGATGTTTGAGAAGCTAAGGACACTTTCCAAAATAAAAAATGATCTTATTCTTCATTGCTCCTTTGAAGGACATCTGGAATGTATTTGCATATCCTCCCCTGTACCCATCTCCCCTGCCCCCTCCCACAATGTTCCTGCCTCAAAGACAGAGAGTCTCACCCTGGCGGGTTGGGCTCAGCAGTTGGAGCGTCCTCCTGGGGTCCAGAGAGACCCGGGTTCGGTTCCGCTAAGGGCATGTACCTCGGTTGCAGTTTGTCCCCAGCCCTGGTTGGGTCGTGTGGGTGGTAGCCACTTGCTGTGTCCCTTTCACATTGATGTTTCTTTCTTTCTCTCTTCTTCTCTCTCCCTCCCGCTCTATCTGAACAAAAAATGGAAATATGTCCTCAGATGAGGATAAAAAAAAAAAAAAAAGACAGAGTCTCTGTCACACAGACCTGACCACCACACACAAGCTTTATGTAGCTTTGCAAAGCCTCTTGTTTCTCAGAAGCTCTTCATCTTCCGTTTGGGTCCAGAAGGGTGCTTTGTGCAGCTGAAACCCACCTGGATGGCCATGAGTTACCATCTGGACCCTTGGCTTTTCTCATCATTGTGGAGACTGTCTAGGATTTCTGTTTTATGGATTAAGTGTGTCTCATGATCTCAGCATTTCCCTTAAACATCAAGCTACGTCGAGTGCCTATAGACTTAGCTCACAACATCCCATAATGCTGTGCTGGACCATGTCAGAGGTTTAATTCGACTCTTTAATTTTATAGTGGTGATATAATAGCAAATATTTTTACATTGCTATGTGCCAGATACATTGAAAGTGCTTTATGTGAGTCATTTAATTCCATTAAGAAACCTGAGAATGTAGGTCTTCGTCACCGCTCTGCAGATAAAGATAATGGGGCCCAGAGAGGTCGGTTAACTTGCCCCAGGCCGGCTCCAGAATTTTAGTCTTAATCCCCATATCACAGCCTCTACAGAGAGGAAACTGGTTGCGGGAGTCTAAATATTGCCCAAGCTCTTGTCTATGTAAAGGAGTTGACAATGGACTTAACTCAGATCTCTGACTTCCAGTCAGGCAGTCACAACAATCTTTGCAATCCTCTCTGGTCCTGCCAATCAAAGCTGCTCAGTCCCAGTCACGTGAGGCAGCTTCTACTACCCCATTTTATAGTCATTTCTCCCCATGAGGGTCTAGAATCTATTCAGCAGCTTTTAAAAGTTGAGATATA